TACCATTTGGAAGTATTGCGTTATTTAGTGAACATGTGCAACTGCATTCTACTGGAAAAATGTCTAACGTAAAAACCGAACAGCGAATAAACATCAAGTTTCTTGTAAAATTTGTTGAAATCTGTTGTAACATGTGATGAGACGTGAATTTTTACCTATGACCCAGAAAGTAAGCGCCAGTCGATGCAGTGGAAGTCTTCAGGATCCCCAAAACCCAAAAAAGCACGCATGTCAAAATCAAAATTCGACATTAATGGAATTGTAATGATTGAGTGGTTTCCCAGTGGTCAGACTGTTAACCAACACTATTACATTGAAGTACTAAAAAGACTTCGTGAAAAAATGAGAGAAAAAAGGCCACAGTTGTAGAGCGATGGATGGCTGTTGCACCAGGACAATGCACCCGCTCACACGGCACTCTCTGTCAAGCAGTTTCTGACCAGCAAAAATATTTCTGTGATGGGGCATCCTCCTTATTCACCTGATTTGACTCCATGCGATTTTTTTTTATTTCCTAAAATTAAATTTTGCTTAAAGGGAACCCATTTCACCTCAGTTGGAGAGGTTCAGGCAGAAACGGAGAATCTCCCGAAGGGACTTCCAAAAACCTCGTTCCAGAATTGTTACCAGCAATGGCAGCGCCGAATGCATAAGCGTGTGAATGCTGAAGGGGTCTACTTTGAAGGTGATAATGTCACGGAAAACTAATTCTGAAGATACAATGATTTATTGGACTAGTCCCGTTTCTTTTGGGTCACACCTTGTATATTTTGTAGATTGATGAACTAAGCTAGAATGTACCACCTGATTAAATGGTCTCTAATCAAAACACATCAGTATAAATAAATATATTTCTCAAGTTATCTACATTTAACTGCTAATTTGAAATCCCAACAATTTTCGCAATTATTTGAATTGAAACAAACAGGTGCCAGAAGACATCTTTGAAATAGGTATACAAAAAATCGTGGTAGAAATAGTGTTAAGAATGCATGAATAAGTGTAGAAAAGAAAGAGATTATAACCACGATTATTCGACAACCCAGGCGAGTTGAATGGCGTTACAGTTTTCTGCGGACAATCAATTTATTTCAAGCCGCGTGATTAATTGTAGCACCGATAATGCGCTTATCTTTTTTCTTTCTTGAAACGGCTCGTTTTCCGTGCGTTCACCGTACAACGAATATCTAACGGTCTTAAATAAAATTCAATCTCTTCCTTCACTTCTTCTCGATACTCGTTTCAATTACAATTTCTTACATCCTCTTTTCCAAAGTGGTTGCACAGTTGATTTCGTATAGAAGAAATCTAATTTCGTTCTTTCGTCATCGTTCTCGAAGATTAAAACAACCACACAGGCGTGTTCGAGACGAGAGGGTCCCCGGAAGCTCCAGCTTCGAAATTCGAGGTCGATTTAATTCAGGGTCGTTCCTCGAAGGGACGCAGTATCCTGAATTTAGCAGTTTTTTCGCTGGCTCGGAGATAAATCGATTTATGGTGCTCCTGTGTCGCGTGCAATCATGATTCTTTCCTTTTTATTTTCCTACGCGCTTATCGGGCCAAGCGATTCTTTTTTTTCTCCCCCGTCTATGCTGTTTCGCTTCGTCTTTTTTCCCTTCGTGACTCGTTCGAACCGTGACGCTTTAATTACTGCATACCGGAAAAAAATAGATTAGTCGGAAGCTTGAAAGGCTAGGTTCGCGTTTTAAAATTTTCTGATAATTTCGGAGTGACCTTTCTTTAATAGCTACCCGGATAAGTAAATATTTAACGCCGTGCAAATGTGCAACGTCGTGCAAAACACCTTACACTTTCTTATTACGAAACCGATTATAAAACTTTGTATCGGGGGAACAAATTAAACGTCGAGAGTGCTTTTAAAAAGACGTTGAAGTTTCCAGGAATTTTTGTACACGTATAGTTAGGGTCATTCTGCGAAGTGGGGCAGGTTACTGTGCTTTTTTAAAAATACAAAATGTGATAGAAGAAATCGTATCGTATTATGTGCACTAACTTTTTATTATCTTATTTTTGATGTGGATGCACTCGCGGAGTGCAATTGCACTTTCCATAATGCAAATCAATGAGAAGTAATCTACCATTTTTTTGTATTTTTATTTAATGCTATTTCTACCACGATTTTGTGCGTACCTATTTCAGAGATATCTTTTGACACCTTTTAATTTGAACGCAAATAGTTGCAGAAACTGTTAGGATTTCAAATTAGCAGTTAAATGTAGATAATTTGAGGAATATATTTATTCATACTGATGTGTTTTGGTTAGAGATTATTTAATCAGGTTGTACATTCTAGCTTAATTTATCAATCTACAAAGTATATAGCGGCGTACACCAAAATGCAACATGGCGGGAAACAAGCGAATATCAACGTTATGCCGCAACTCCTATATTTTCGATACAACTAAAATCAGAATTTTTTAATCTGATTGTAATTGATATGATGCTGCAAAATGATGTTGATATTTATATGTAAAATGGTTTAAAATTAGGCACTGACATGACATCCTTAAAGAGTCAAAAAACCTCATGGTAAAAATAAGTATAACGTAAGCACATTTTTAGATCTAGAATGAGCTGGAAGAAAATGATATCGCTGAATTAATGTAACAACTATTGTATGAAAAGTCAGAAAATTAATTGAGGAGAAATAATTCAACTTGGAGAATAATTTTAAGTTAAAATTTGAAAGGTGCCTTTTGACAACTCCTGGTAGAAATAGTGTTAATAAGGTGTAAGAGATTTAATTTCTTTTCGAATTTAAAGCGTTTGTATTTGATTTTTTTATAGATGCAAATATTGGTTGCAGGTGAATTAATATTAGAACCATTTATATTTTAGAAAGCGAAAAACTATTGTCGTTGAAATAGAAGAATAGGAGGTTGTTATTAATAAAGAATAAGGGCTAGTTAAAAAGGAAGAACATTAAAAGAAGAAAGAGGAGAACTGTCATTACAAAGGCAGGAGAATAGTTAGATCATTGACATAAAAAATGAAGAGTAGGATTACTTAAAAGAAGAAGAATATTACGAAGAAGATTAGAAGGACTGACATTAAAATAGAAAATATGGTAAACTAGTGTCGTTAGAAGTAGGAAGAATAGAAGGATTGCTGTTATTAGAAAAAAAGAATAGGAGAACCACTTGAGAAAGAAGAATATTAAACAGAGAACAATAGGAGGATCGTTATTAAAAAAGAATAATGGTAAGATGATTTAAAAAAGAAGAATATTAAAGAAAAAGCAATAGGAGGACTATTGACATTAGAAAAGAAGAATATAAGAGCTGCTATCATTCAAAGGATGAAGAATAGTAGGATCGCTATCATTAAGAGAGATGAATAGAATGACTACTTGAGAAAGAAAGTTATTACAAAAGGAAGAATATAATTGTCATTAAAGAAGAAAAATATGGAAATAGTGTCTTTAAAAAAACAAAGAATGATACGATTACTGTCACTAACAAAGAAGCATAGGAGAACCGCTTAAAGAAGAAAAAATATTATGAAAGAAGAAATAATAGGATCATTGTTATTAAAAAAGAAGAATAGGAGAGTCGTTCAAAAAAGAAGAATGTTAAAAAAAGAAGTAGAGGACCATTGTCATAAATAAAGAAGAATATGTGAACCATTGTTATTGCAAAAAAGAAGAACAATAAAGTCTCTGTCATTAAGAAAAAGAAGTATAGTAGGATTACTATGATAAAAAGAGAAGAATAGGAGGGTCATTCAAAAAAGAAGAATATGTGAACCACTGCCATTAAAAAAAAGTAGAATAACAGAGTCACTACCATTAAAAGGATGAAGTACAGTAGAAGTATAGAAGAAGTATAGTAGAAGTACAGTAGAAATATAGTAAGATTGCTATGATTAAAAGAAAACAATAGTAAGACCACTTTAAAAAAACAAGAATATTAAAAAAGAAGTATACAAAAACCACTTTTATCAGAAAAGAAAAACATGAGAACCACTGTCATTGAAAGGAAGAAGAATATAAAGATTACTGTTATCAAAAGAAAGAAGAAGAAAGAAAGAAGGATATCAAAAAAGAAGAATAGAACGATTGTCATAAAAAAGAGGAATATAAGAACTACCATTAAAAGAACGGAGCATGAGAACCTCTTTACTACGACTGGTACATAAAAGCGAGCATTTCTCCAAAAGAATTTTAGAAAATTTATCAAAGAACCGGGAAAATCACAAAGCATGTGGATTATCAACTTACTATGTATAAAGTGATACCTCAAAGGTTAACTAAACAACGTTAAACCGAAGAAAAACATTGCTAGCCAAGGATAGGATAAATTTTACTTCTTTCTCGCAGTATTTTCCTTCCATTTCGTCCTGTGATCCTCGATTTGCATAAATTTCAGAAGCAATTTCAATTCTTCAAATATTTTTCGTTTATTGGACTAATACATAATAAAAGTAATTAAGAATCAGCGTTGCGAAAAAACGGATCACCTTTTTTGTAATCATAGATTTTAGCGAATTTAGAGATTTTACAGATTTTGTAAATTTTACTCATTTTTTAGGTCTACGAATCAAAAAAATTAATTTTGAATTTTTATTGAATTATAATTTAAATTTATAAATTAATAAATAAATTAGTAAACTAACAAATTTAAATTTATTCAATTTTATTAAATTAATTTTTAATAATAAACATTTATAATATTTATTAATATTATTAAATATTTTAAATTAATATTTATAATACATATTTTGTCATTTCCCTGTAACACGTTGATCTGTATCTTCTTGTAATAAATAATTCGCCATTTGCTTATAAATTACGTGTATTTCAAAATAGTCATTTCCGTAATGCATATTCTGTAAATATATTTTGTAAAGTAATCATTGTAGTATGTCCTTTTCTTTTTCAACTTTCAATATTGTAAAATTGGTATAAACACTTGAAAAGCCAATATTAATAATACACAGAAAATTGGCGAAAAATATATTTGTAATTATTAAAGGTTAACACGAAAATAAATTCGCTTGATTTAAATTTCCCGCCCGATTGTAGACCCAATTTAAAAGGACAGACTTTGCCGGACATCAAAGGACGCCGGAGTGCCGCCTCTTGTTGTACCTACTCTTTGTTGCAACTATGTAGAGAAGATGTGAAAAGAGTGCCTAGAGTGTCGCCTCTTTTGTACCTACTCTTTGTTATAACTATGTAGAAAGATGTGAAAAGAACGTGAAGGTAGAAAGTCCAGTATGAGTAATGAAGGTTAGTCGCAGATGAAAATTTGAATGGTGCAATTTAATCTAAAGTAAATATTTGGACATATAACAGTTTGATTTGCAGCAGAACATGAAGATCTTCCGGAAAAGAGAATGGAAACAGTTAAACGGACTCGCTGGTAAATTAATTTAATTAAAGTCGAATTGTGCGACAAGGTTCGTTTGCTGGACGAAGGTTAACGAGGTTCCTTCGACAATTCTGTGTCTTTTCCAGTCCATTGCGATGCAATTACACGTGGAAAGTTGAACGGGGCTCACCAGAGAATTGTCACGTTACAACGTTTCAGTTACCTTCGTAAAAAAGGAAAGAAGTCTCGTACACGAAAGCAGCATTACGGGAAAACGTGGTTATGTCAAAGGAAAAGGTCAAAGGAAATTTCTCTTCATCCTTTACGAGTGACTATCGTGTCGGTGAACTGTGAAAGTAAACAATTACGTGTTCTGGTTAATTGTAACACTAAGGGATGGTTTCTCAATCGTGGTTTAAACAGACAATTAAACTTCGGTCAAATTGAGATAAATTGCTTTTGTTTTAGGCATTCAAACGCGGCTTAAATGAAATGTCAGTAACTTGACTAATTTAGTAGATAGTCTAATTTGTAACTTGTAACTTGTAAATAATTTAGTGATTAAATTAATTTGTATGCATTGTGTGTTAATTTGTAATTTGTAATTCATTTAGTAATCACATTAACTTGTAAATTATCTAATTTGATAATTAGGTTAATTCAGTAATTACATTAACTTGCAATTTGTAACTAATTTTGTACTTAAATTAATTAAAAATTTGCAGCTAATTTAGTAACTAGATTAACTTGTAACTTATTACTCATTTAGTAATTAAATTAATTTATAACTTGTTACTAAATTAGAAACTGAATTAACATGTAACTTACAACTAATATAGTAATTAAATTAATTTACAATTTGTAACTAATTTAGTAACTAGATTAACTTATAACCTATAATTAATTTATTCATTAAATTAACTTGTAAATAATTTATTAACTAGATTGACTTGTAATTTATTAGTAATTTAATAAATAAGATAACTTGTAAATTCTAACTAACTTGGTAGTTAGATTAATTCGTAACTTGTAAAAAATTTAGTAATTACGTTAATTTCTAACTTGTAACTAATTTAATAATTAAATTATATTTACCCTGTAAGTTGTTATTGTTAAAAAATGAAAATGTATTATTAATTTTCAAAATAATAATGAATAAATTATTATAACTAGTTTTGTACATTTATTTAATGATAATTAGACCGTCGTTTTTTATTCTTCACTGCATTTCAAATTGAATTTTCTATTGAGATATGATAAAACAAACAGGGAGCAGTGTTTAAGCTTTAATATAGGAATTATAATAAATAAATTCTACAAATTAAAGTTAAATGAAGTTTTAAATGTTTTTGAAAAATCTGTCCTAAATTTTGTAGAAAAAAGTTAAATTTGAGGTTATGTAAAGACATTCAATTATTTGATTGTATAATTAAGTAAATACAATAAAAATATTTACAAATATTCAAATTAAATTTGATTAAATATAATTTATTCTAAATTGTAATTTATTATGAAAGATATCAAAAACTAAATGATAATTGAACATAATAGAGCTGTTCCACCTCGTAATTTATACGAGATCATTCTGGCTTAATATGATTAGATTTGTTAAAATTAAATTATCAGGGTTAATTAAAATCTTGAAATTTCAAGAATACTACATCAAAATAAGGATTAAATAGAATTTTAATTAAATTACTATTTCTAAAGGATTCATAGTTTCATGAACGTGGAGGAATATATGGGGGACAATTTGGAAACAAAATGGCTGACTCGCCACTTCACCTGTTTTAACAAAATGGCGATATTAAGACAATCAACTGTAATGTTCAATTCGATATTATTCTACTATTTCATTACTTCATTGTACTATTATTATACTGTTTGATTATTTTATTCTGCTGTTATAATGTTATATTATTATTTTTTATATATTATTCTTTATTCCACTATTCTAGCTATTCTATTTTTATTCAATGTTACTATTTTACTATTCCATTTAGACAAATAACCTTTTTTACACTTAAAATAGAGAAATAACTAATGCAATTAATAATTGTTAATGCAAATGTGTATTAACACACATCATAGATTACGTGTTAACTAAAAATATAAAAAATGCTGAAAACTGTGTTTGCCCCAATTTTTAAATCAAAATTTGCAACGCAAAATTCAAACTTGGTTAAAATTAAATTTCAACCCGTTTAATCTTACATTTGAACGCGTATAATATTAAATTCGAACATTCAATATTAAAATCCAATATTTTATATTAAAATTGAACATTTAACATTAAATTGGTGCGTTAATATTAAAATCATACATTTAATGTGATATTTGACTATTTAATATTAAGTTCAAACATTTAATATTAATTTCATGCATTTAATTACTGGTTTAAGCACATGACAAAAATTGAATTCTTTAAGAAAATTTTATTTTGAAATATGAAATTTTTTAATTACCGCTTAATATAAAATTAAGAATTCCATATTAAAATCGACCATTCAAGTTTACATGAAACAATTACTACTACAAATTATAACTACTACTTCAAACAAATACTGCTATATAAATATAACCAATACTACTATAAACCATTTATATTACTACTACAAACAAATACAATTTAACATGGAATGTGAATGTGTCAACACCAAATTCCAACAAAACTCCCACGAAAATAAGTCATTCCAACCGATACCGTTCGAACCGGAACAAAAGCGTGCAACGATCGTAATCGAAATCACGAAGAAAACCGATGACGAATGAATGACGAACAAAATGTCCAAGTATCGTTCCTCCAAACAGATCACAAAAGGTACATATCTAATCGTTTAGGTAAACGTTCAAGGAGAGTTCCTGATGGTCCGCATGAGTACGTGTGTGTCTAATATCCCAGTGATTCTCTCGTTGTTTCCCTCGGTTCTTTCAGTGGCTCGAGATCTGTCTCGTTATCTCAGTGTCAGCGTGATGAATAGAGTACACAAGAACCGCGTATGCCAATGTCCAGCAGCCATGGGGACAAACTGATGACGGTACCGAAAGTGGGGGCCCACGAGAGCATAAAAGCAGCCACGAAGAAAAGCATCGGTGCTTTTGTGGTGTTTCGCTCGTGGCCGCATCGTGTCCCAGCTGATATATTTATTGTGCGACAAGTGTTTCAAGAAAAACCCAAGACTTCTACGAGGTCGTCATGGGGCATCCACCTCGACTGTCGGGGACCACCCTCGCATGTCTTCTACTACTTCTCGCCACGGCTCATGCCGCCAGTAAGTACCTTATTTTATTTTCGTTCATTTAGGCTCCTTTTGGCTCAGACTCTTTCTCCATTTGGGATCCTTCTGATTTGTTTAGGATAGTAGGATACTTTTATTCTCTTTTGGACCTCTTTGCTTCATTTAGACTTCTGGACCATCTAGACTCTGATCCATTTGGGATCCTTTTGATTTAGGGTAGTTCAGCTTCATGTAGGATACTTTTGCTCTGTGTAGGACTTCTTTGGTTCGTTTAGGAACACTTTGGTTCATTACAGCTCTGGTCTATCTAGACTCTTTCTGATCCTTTTGGGATCCTTTTGCTATTCATTAAGGGTAGTTTTGCTTCACGTAGATATTTTTTAGTCTGCTTAGGATCTCTTTGGTTTATTTAGGAACATTTTGGTTCATTTAGAGCTCAGGTCCATCTAGACTGTTTCTGATTTATTTGGGATCTTTTTGCTATTCATTCAGAGTAGTTTTGCTTCGCGTAGATGATTTTAGTCTACTTAGGACCTCTTTGGTTCGTTTGGGAACATTTTGGTTCATTTAGAGCTCTGGTCCATCTAGGCTATTTCTGACCTATTTGGGATCCTTTTGAGATTCATTTAGGGTAATTCTGCTTCATGTAGGATACTTCTTATCCATTTACGATCTATTTGGTTCGTATAAAATCCTACTAACTTAGAGTTCTTTTGGATCATCTCTTTCTGGTTCATTTAATGTCCTTTTGATACAAGGTGGCTCTGCTTCATATAGTAAACTTTCATCCGTTTAGGATACTTTTGATTCATTTAAAATGCCTTTGCTTTATAATCTGTTTACAATCATTTTGCGACATTTCCTCCATTTAGAATCTATTTTGAATCCGTTTGATCCGTTTCCATTTTTTTAAATTTATTTAGGACCTTTTTAGTCCACCGAGTATGCATTCAAGCTCCTTTCGGCACACTTTAAGTCATTTTGATACATCAAGGATTTTTTCAACCACTTAGCATCCATTGAGAGTTCTTTCTGTCCATTTCTAGTCGTTTTGGTTCATCATTCTTCTGGTCCATTTAGAATTTACTCTAGGATGTTTTGATACATTTCAAGTCGTTTTGATTCATCAAGGACCTCTTCGAATCCAGTTAGGATAAGTTTAGAGTCCTTCTGGGGTATTTCCAGACGTTTCGGTTTATTTAAGTCCTTATTGGTTCACTTAGAATCCGTTCAAGTTTATTTAGGATCTTCTTGGTCCGTTTAGAATTCATTTAGGATCCCAGTCCCATTTCCAAGTGACCGGTGCATTTAAGATACCTTTCATCCGATTTGAACCCTTTTAGTTCATTTAGGATCTTTTTGGTTCACTTAGGATCTCTTTGAACCATTTAAAATTCGTTTAGGGTTTGCTTTCTACACTTAGAGTCCATTTAAAATTCTACTTAGAATCTTTTTGTTCTACTTTGATTCCACTTGGCCAACATAATCTTCTGTGGTCCTTTCAGGACATTTTAACTTCATTTAGTGTTGTCTTACGCCATTTAAAGTCTGTTTGGTACATTTAGGGATATTTTGGTTCACATAGAGTCTGGATTTAACATCCTTATGATCCACTTACCTTCAGGATCAGTTAGAATTCATTTAAGATCCGTTTACTTAAATTACAATGTATTTATGGTCCTTTTGATTCAATTATGCATTTAGGGTTCATGTTTCATTTTTATTAGTCTCCTTTTTATTCATTTAGAGTCCTTTGCATTTAAAGTCCGATGCATTTAAAATTTCAATTCTTTTAAATTGTTTAGGTTCCTTTTAGTCCGTTTGGAATCCATTTAGGATCGATTTATAGTGCTTTTGATCTTATGGCTCAGTTAAAATATTTTGAAACAATTTAGAGTCCTTACGATCCATTTAAAGTTTGTTTAATTTGTTTACGATCTTTTTGATTCAGTTAGCTCTTCACATTTAAGGTTATTTTAGAAGTGAAATTTAACCATTTAGTAAACGTAATCTCCATATTGCAATACTACACGGAATATTTAATATTCTAGATCTAAATCATAACCTTGTAAGGATTCAACGTATTAATATTTCATTTTTATTTAAATATTAACTGTAGAATGTTCATTTTTGAATCATACTTTCTAATGTGTTAATAAAACGCTGAATGCTAATATTAATATATTCATTTGTAAATTATATACATTTATTTGTCAATTTCATAATCATTCATCAAAATAATATAAATAACATAGTTTAAATTAATTATATAACGCAATATTATACTAACTTACATATGTATCACTAAATAACTCGCTAAACATTTAATAATCGTGCTTTGGAAGGAAATGTGGATAAATGAAGTACAGCATTAATTTATTTATATATTTATTTATACGCATGTTATACATATGTTAAAACTATATTTTTAATAAATGCGTACTTAAATAACGGTTAAGTTATTTAGCAAACCTATAAATAACGGTAATAAATAACGAAATATTATGTTAAGTCACTTGCAGATAATATGATCTCCGCTGAATTTATAATCGCATCACTCAACTTTCATTTTAAACACAAAATAATTAATTAGTTTCCATCATGTAAATGTAACAGAATAAATGAATATTCATCGAGCGATTTTATAATCATACTCTTCAACAATCGTTGTGAATATAAAATAACCAGTTTCCATCACGGAATTATAACTAGTTACGTAAAATTAGTTTCAAAGTTGCAAATACCAAATTTAGAAATTTCCGTATATTTCTGCGACAAGTTGAACAACAATCCTTTGTTTACGACATATATTACAAATGTCCTTAACAGCATTTCTGCAAAGGCACTCTGTTTTTAATATTAAAAATCTGTCAATTTATTTCAACAAAACTCGCGAAGTTGATAAATAAGAAATATAATACATCTTTGAAGAAAGTTTTATGAATTATTTCTGTGGGCGACCTTTTCTCATTTCTGCGAACCTTCCAGAGTGTGACCTTCTTATTCGGGAAAATATTTTTTCGTGGGGAGAAAAAAGAGCTGAAGGATAGAATATTCTTATTCTCCGGAGACACTTGCGGGTGTTCGCATGTATTAGGGTAATAGCATAATAAAATTTCGCGGAATTTAGAGATATCTCAAAAACATTCGAGTCTCCATTTTCTTTTTCTCTTTCGCGCAGAATTAAAAGCGCGTGTTATTTTTTCGTTGAAAAAAATAAACGAACCAATTCGTTGAAAAAACAAAATGGACTGATTCGTCGAAAAAACGAACCGTTGGAAAAAAATAAACCTTCGATAAGAAATCGAAGACAAGAAAATTGTTCGATTCTCCAATTACATGACTTGCGAAATAATTTGCGAGAAGTTTCGTAACTCTTATCTCGTTTAAAGATTAACGACATTCGCTAACTTCTTCTCTTTAACAAAAGCGCTGACAGCGAAAGAAGAGTAATGGAATTTTAAAAGAGTCCGAGATTCTTAACTTTCATCGACTTCTGCGAACGTAGTTATGACATCAAACGAATCTGAATAAAAGTGATTCCCTGTTTCCCTCGTTTGACAATTGAATCTGCTTTAATGAGTTGTTCACAAATATTCGAGGTCTATTCAAATGAGGAAATTAGCGAAACGTTGGAAAGTATTTAGGTTATTTTTGTAAATTTACGAACATATTTTGTTCTTTCAAAAAAAACGTTTACGAAATTCACGAAAACTTTCATGTTAACAAAATTTGTTATGAATTATGGGAAAGACTATATATGAAATATAAAATATAAAGTACATAATATAAAATATAAAATATAAAGTACATAATATAAAATATAAAATGTAAAATATAAAATATTAAATATAAATTGTAAAAAAGTTGGGAAAAATATGATGCACAGCACATTGTAATAATTTAAGAACGATTGCAAAATATATTTAAATTGTACACGATATCACAATAGTCCACACTAATGACTTATATCTTATTGTTAGATCGCTCGATTAGCTCGCCTATTTATACCATTGACTATCTCACGCGCATGCGCACTCATAAAAAAAATGGACTCCTCAAACCTTGTACCGAAATTATATTTGTACAAGAGAATTATGACCAAAAATTTGGAGAAAATTCAGTTATTTCCCTGACATTCAGTAAGAAACTTGTTAAAGCCAATTGTTCAAAAATTGAAGGAAATTTCAATAAATTAATTTCGACAATTATTCAAATTTATTCGAGAAAATAATTGCTAAAGAATAGAAAATAATTTAATCGACTTTGATAAATATAAAAATTTAATTTAGACAAGAAAAGTTCTAACAAATTGAAAAATTGAACTGTAAGAAATTACAAATAACCAAATTTTGTTTGTCAGACTGTTCAAAAATAAATTGAAAGCTAATTAATTAGAAGAAATCAATAATATTTACTTTCACATACTATAGTAATTGTGACACTAGCGCAGAAAATCAGAATTTGTTTGAAAAAATGAAGCTGCCATTCAAAATCGTCCTTACACAATATTAATCATATAATAATTTTTAATTTTTTGTTTTAATCACTTTAACCACTTTAAAATTATTTTTTTCACTGCAATCTCGTTAAAAGTGTTATTTTTTATTTTCAATCGCTTTAAAATTATTACTTCATACAAATTATTTTAAAATCGCTATTTTTCACATTCAATCGCTTTAACTCTTAACGCTGAGTATGAAACGACCTCAGCCAATTTAGCTTCAATTTTTGTAAATTAACGAATATATTTTGTTCTTTCAAAAAAAATGTTTGCGAAATTCACGAAAACTTTCATGTTAACAAAATTTGTTATGAATTGTGGGAAAGACTATATATGAAATATAAAATATAAAGTACATCATATAAAATATAAAATGTACATAATTTTAGCCACTTTAATACCTTTTTTGAAACAAAAAATAATAAACAATAAATAGTAAAAAATAGTGTCTTTACTGTCAAAATATTAAAATAGAAAAAAGTTTTGAATTTTTCTGTGAAAATTATTTTTTCAATTCTTTGACGTTTAC